TGGCCCCATCCCCGCCTCTTCGACCTGTTTGTTTCCTCTCCACCTATCCTCTCCTCTATCCCTCTTCTATCCGCCTCCCACTCTCTCCCTATTTATTTCAAAACCCCCTTCCCCTCCCCCTTTTCTGATGAAGGGTCTAGGCCCGAAACGTCAGCCTCTCTGCTCCTATGATGCTGCTTGGCCTGCTGTGTTCATCCAGCCCTGCACCTTGTTGTCTCGGATTCTCCAGCATCTGCAGTTCCTACTATCTCTGGCCTAACTTCTGCTTCTATTTTCTGTGCTTCTATATTTTATTTCCATCCATTTCCAATTTTCTTTTAAATTATTGAGTGTCTCCTCTTCCTGCATCTTTATAAGCAGAGATTTCCTGTTAATTACTACTTACATCAAAAAATTCTTCCTCATGACCCAAGATGTCTTAGCCAAAATCTTAATTTTGTGTTCCCTAGTCTTTATGCCATCAACTAATGAGAACAGCTTTTCTTCTTCATCTAAATTTGTCTTAATCTTGCATACCTTTAAAAATTCACCACTCTGTATCCTTTGCTTCAAGGAAAACAAACCCTGCTTTTCCAATCTAACCTTGTGGGTAAGTTACCTGAAACCATTCTGGTTAATGTCATCTTCATCCTGTTGAGGACCTTCGCATTCCTCCTTAATATACGGTGTCCAGAATTTTAGGGCATGCCAGGGAGTGCTTCAGTATTTACAGGAAGTTCGAGGAATGAGTCAGTAGCTGCGCGGAATTCCAGGAATTGTCAGCATCTTCAAAGATTCTTAGAAGTTTGTCAACGGACCGAATGGTTTCAAAGCTTTTGATTTCCATAGATAGAGAATAAAGTGGATGCTGGAAATCTATAGGACAAAAACTGCTGAAAAAACTCAGCAGATTTGACTACATCTTTGGAGAGACAGAGTTAGTGTTTTTAGTGCCAAAGACCTTTCATCAGAACCCCACTGATTTATGTGTGGCACAGAACAAATTTAAAAGGATATGGGAAGAAAGCAGGGAAATAGTGAAAGCTCTTTCAGTGAGTTACCCCCCAGGCACATTAGGAAGATTGATCTGCTGTAAGATTCTAGAATTCTAATTCTCACTGAAGGAAAATCATGTGCAGATATCCACCAGCAAATCATATGTTAGTTCTATATGTTGAATTGCCCTGTATGTTTATAGTCCTATATATTGAGTCCTCTCGTATCTTTATGATTCCATATGTTGAGCAATCCTATTCTTCTGTTGTCTAGGTATAACCTGGGGGAAAGTTGTAGCTCTGTATGCTGTAGCTGGAGGACTGGCCATTGACTGTGTGAAACAGGGACAGCCTGCCATGGTACACACAATAGTCGATTGCTTAGGAGAGTTTGTCCGGAAAACATTGGTGACGTGGCTCAGGAGACGAGGCGGATGGGTAAGAGATGCTCTTTTCAATTGCTTTCAATATTTATAATCTTAGCTCATCAGCATAATGAATCAGGATTTTCACCCTAGAAAATGCATTTCTAATTACTTTTCATATGATGAGAAAGATCCCAATTTGATCACCAATTGGGTGCTGTTAGAGCAGTGTTAGGAATTAAAGGTTGCTTCAATGCCCCTGGATTTAAAGAAGAAAAACCAAGCAGTGTTTTCACTCCAAATAGCTGTCTGAAATCTCAATGTACCAATACTGGTTAAGGATTCAGGTTTTGTAACAATGCCTTGCCGTATGTAACAAAAGTAATTTATTGCTATGGAATTCAAAAATTCTAATCCTTATATTCTAATCCATTCCTTGCCTCACCCATCCCATTTTCATTACCTCCTCCATGCCAACAAGAACCTTTTCTAAGGGCCTGCTTCCCTTCGCCTCACCATTGGCAGTCAAGCCTTCATTTGTCTTACTCCAAAACACTGGAATTCCGTCCTTAAATATCTGTGTCTCTCTCAGCCGCTCTCTCCTCCTTTTAAACCCTTCTTTAAAATCAAAAGCGTTGGCTAAGGAAGTTAACAATGGTATCAATTTGATACATTAATGATCTAGATGAAGGAACTGGGCATTCTGGCTAAGTTTGCAGACGATACAAAGATAGGTCGGGGCACAGGTAGTATTGAGGAGGCGGGGATGCTTCAGAAGGATTTGGACAGGTTAGGAGAGCAGGCAAAGAAGTGGCAGATGGAGTACAACATGGGAAAGTGTGAGGTCATGCACTTTGGTAAGAAGAATAAAAGCATGGACTATTTTCTAAATGGGAAGAAAATTCAGAAATCTGAAGTGCAAAGAGACTTGGGAGTTCTAGTCCAGGATTCTCTCAAGGTAAACTTGCAGGTTGAGTCAGTAGTCAGGAAGGCAAATGCAATGTTGGCATTTATTTTGAGAGGACTTGAATGTAAAAGCAGGGATGTACTACTGAGGCTTTATAAGGCTTTGGTCAGGCCACATTTGGAGTATTGTGTGCAGGTTTGGGCCCCATATCTCGGGAAGGATGTACTGGCCCTGGAGCAGGTTCAGAGGAGGCTCCAGGAGAATGGTCACAGGAATGGAAAGCTTAACATATGAGGAAAGTTTGAGGACTCTGGGACTATACTCATTGGAGTTTAGAAGGATGAGGGGGGATCTAATTGAAACTTACAGAATACTGGATGACCTGAACAGAGTGGATGTTGGGAAGGTGCTTCCAATGGTAGTAGAGACTAGGACCCGAGAGCACAGCCTTAGAGTAAAGGGAAGACCTTTTAGAATGGAGATAAGGAGAAACTTCAGCCAGAGAGTGGTGAATCTATGGAATTCACTGCCACAGAAGGCTGTGGAGGCCAGGTCATTGAGTACATTTAAGACTGAAATAGGTAGGTTCTTGATTATCAAGGGATCAAGGGTTATGGGGAGAAAGTGGGAGCATGGGGTTGAGGAACTTATCAGCCATGATCGAATGGTGGAGCAGACCTGATGGGCTGAATGGCCTAATTTCTGCTCCTATGTCCTGTGGTCTTAAATGATGTACAATTCTGATTAGGCCTGAAGATGGGAAAATTTTTGAAATAAGCAGAGGATGACTAGAGGATTGATAAAGAAATAAACATTAGATTTTGAGAGAAAATTAGCAAGGAGTATGGAAACAAAATCTTAGCTTCTAAAGATGGAGTAGTGACAGTGAAACTTGGTTCCTGAGAGGTTGAGATTAAGGAATAACAAAAAAACAAAGACATGGGTGAAACTTTGAACAAGTATTTTGTATCTGTCTTTATAGCAAAAAAAAACAGAAGCAAATCCCAAGAACAGTAGGAAAGCAACAGAGGAAAGGGAGAGATTAAACAATCACAATCATGTGGAAAAAAACTGGGAAAATTAATGGAACTAAAGTCTAACAAGGCCCTGGATGTCCTGGGCTGCACCTAAAAGAAATAGCTGCAGGTTTAGTAGATGCATTGGTTGAAATCTTCCAAAATTTCCTAGATGCTGGAACAGTCCCTGCAGATTGCAAAGCCCTAAAAATAATACCTCTCTTTAAGGAAGAAGGGAGCCAGGAAACTATGGACCAACTAGATTAGCATCTGTCATTGAGAATATGCTAGAATCTATTGTTAAGGAGGTTTTAGCAGGACATTTAGTAAATAATATAATCAGGCAGAATCAATGTGTTTTGGTGTTTAAATTGAGAATGTAGCACGCATGGTAGATAAAGGGGAACCAGTAGATGCAGTGTATTTGGATTTCCAAAAGGCCAGCATTAAAGTGCCACTTCTATTCAAGATTTAGATCTCATGGTGTTAGGGGTGATGTATTTGTATAAATACAGGATTGGCTGACCAACAGGAAACAATGTTGAGATAAATGGATAACTTTTCAGTTGGCAATCTGCATCTGGTTGAGTGCCAAAGTGATTAGTGCTAACACCTCAACTATTTACGATCTGTGTTGACTTGGATAAAGGGACCTACTGTACTGCAGCTAAATGTGCTGATGACACAAAGATGGATAAGAAAGTAAGTTTAAAGGAGGCTACAAAGAGCTTGCAAAGAAATATAGATAAGCTAAGCAACTTGGGGAAAGCTTTGGCAGATGGAATATAATTTGGGAAAGTGTGAGATCTGCACTTTGATAGGAAGAAAAAAAAAGAATGATTTAAATGGAGAGAAACTAAACTTCTGCGATACAGAGGGATCTGGATGTCTTTGTACATGAATCACATAAAGCTAATACGCAGACACAGTAAGTAATTAGGAAGACGACAGGAATGTTGGCCTTAAATACAAGGGGAATGGAGCATAAAGAGTGAAGTTTAGTTAGCCCCATCTAGAATACTATGTACATTTTTTGTTCTTCTTACTTTAATTGAAGCAGTTCCAAGAAGGTTCACTTGGCTGACTCCTGGAATGAAGGGATTGTCTTAAAGGGATTGGTTGAGCAGATTCAACCTATACTCACTGGAGTTTAGAAGAATGAGCGATGGTCTTCTTGAAACATACAAAATTCTGAGGGGCCTTCATAGTGTAGTTGCTGACAGTACCCTGAGAGATTTCCTTTAATGAGAGAATCTAAAATTTGGGGGCTTGTCACAAAAATAAGGGATCTCCAATTTAGACTGAGGTGAGTAAAAGGTAAAGATAAAATCACGATAGTTTCACCATGCCTCAGGTGAGGGAAAGGTTGAGAAAGAGAATCCTTCTTGGTAACCTCAGCTGGTGCAGGAATTGACATCATGCTTTTGGCCTCCCGCTAAATTGCAAACTAACTGTCCACGTGACTAAGCTAACTGACATGGCTCGCACACCTCCTCCCGTTCAGTTAGCATGCTCACTGACCTACACTAGCTTCTAATCTGGCAATGCCTCAATTCAAAAAGTGCTTGTTTTCAACTGTCACACGATTTTGCTGCTTCCTATTGCTGTAACATCCTGCAGCCCCACAACAGTCTGAGATTTCTGCTCGCCTCCAATTCTGATCGCCTCCAATTCTGATCTCTCGAGCTTCCCCAATTTTAAACATTGCACCATAGTAGCCCCACCCTCAAACGACAGGGACGTGATCTCTGGAGTTCTATTCTTAAATCGCTCACCTCTCCATCCTGCTTTAAAACATTGTTTAAAACCAACCAAAGTCTTTGGTTACCTTTGTGATAAAAATATGGATGGTGGTACTTCCCAAAAAACTTTGGAGCATTTCACTATATTTAAGGATTGTGAGTTGTTGTTCAGCATTAACAGAAAGCTATGGTATAGAGTCCAGTACGTGTAAACCTGTGCAATTCCTTGTACTCATCTTATGTTTATTTTATGTCATTTAACAGCTGGTGTCAACTGATGCTTAAGCACAATGGTTTATTTTTATTTCTAACCTGTGTAACATGACACCGAATAAAATAATTCCAAATAGTATTCAGCAGTCAGATGGTGTTTAATAATTCTCATTTGTTCTGATTCTAGGCTGACATAACAAAATCCGTGGTTAACAATGATTCCAGCATCCGGGATCATTGGCTTGTCTCCTTCCTCTGCACCTGTGGACACTTCCTCAAAGCAATCTTCTTTTTCTTTCTGCGGGAGCGATGATTCTAGCTGGGACAATATGGCCACCATTTGCTGTCCTTTTCAAATGTAACACCTAATTAATAACACACCTGAATTAGCAGTAGCAATTGGAAAAAAATTCTACACTTGGCAGAATGGAACATGAATCCTTTCAGTCATTGGCTGAACAGGGAACATGTAAATGATAGTGGAAACTATTACATCAGAATTCTACTGAATTTTTATCAAAGGTTTTGATTTCTAACTGCGTAAAGTTTGATCTCAGAGATGGTAATAGTTTAAAGCAGCAGTGCCAGCTGGTCTGCAAGTGAAACATTTTGTTCTACAGGGGCGGCTACTTTGAAGAATCCAAGAATGAACAGCTGTGAATGTATGGTATTATTTCTTTTTAAGCCGTTGTTCTAAAACCTCCATCTTTGATTGTACAGACTAGCTGCACCAAACAGAAATTCAATTTGGTAAGATGAAATCCAAGAAAATACTCAATTAAATTTTAAGGATGAGGAACCTGGGTATTTACAAACAGTTGGTTTTATTTGGGAGGTGCTAATATCTAGTTATCCCAGATTCAGCTGCTCTGTTTTGGATCTCGTTTAATACTTTTGCATAGCTTTGCGAAAGGAGGAATTACTCTAGGTTTGTTACAATGACTGTTTAATCCATTTATATATAGAGACCTGTCCAGGCTAATGACAATGATGGGGGTAATTTTTCCAGCACCAACCTTTAGTGTTTTGTCTGTCTCAGTAATTTCATTGAATGGGTTAATGCAATTCAAAAATTATGCTTTTATTTCCTTCACTTCCCTTCAAGGATAAATACAAATGTGACCTGGCCCAATGGGCTCATTGTTCCATGTAAGCCATAGCTCAGAAATTATAATATCACTGTGCCCATTTTCAGGCACTAACCAGGTTTCTAAATCTCCAAGATGGCAACAGGAAGTTTGCATTCATTTCGGACTATGTGCCATGTTGATGGAGAATAGAGAACGGCATCCAGAGCGGGTATTAGTCCTTTTTTGGATGCAAGCAGCAGGCCTAATGCTTGATGGAGGTGGACACTGCAACGTGGATTGCTCTGAAACAGCTAATGCAATCAGAAAAAAAAAACAGGTCTACATGCAGCTTAACCATCGGTCCTTTAAAAAGAATGTCTGCACCCCCCCCTCCCCACCCCCAGAAAGTTAGGCTCTTAAAATACTTTCTTGTATTTGAAGGTGGGTGAGACAAGAGTACTCCTCCAACTGCAAATCTATGGACAGTACCCAGTCTCTGCAACCCCATTTATAAACCCCCCACCCCTTCCAAACACTATGCCTTCCCATTTAAGGTCTTGCTAGGGTCACTGCCAGCAACATAGACGTCTGCAATTCCAATTGTGCTTTGAACAAATTGCCTGAGGTTGCCTGGCTGGTGTCTGTTGCTCACCAGTCTCATTTATCTGAAGCCACAGTATCAGGTGCTTTTCAAATAAATAATTGCTAAGACTTTCTCAAACTTTAACTCCTGTCACTCTGAATTACCAGGGAGCCCCTTGTCCTCAGGAATGCATGGCTGACTTTACTAACTGAGAGAAGGTCATCAGGTGAGCACAAGGTGAACAAGTTTGACCTATGCCAAAAATAAAGATGGTCTAGAACATATATGAATACAGAAATAACACTTCTGAATAACAATATAACTGTTATAGATTGGGATGTATTTCAACTCTTTCAACTTTGTATTCACAGTGCCTGTTCAAAGTCTGAATTTTCCTGCCTCATGGAAAGAGGTCTGATAATGTGGGATCACTTCCCACTGTTATGATGTTGTTATTTTCTTTCGGAGGTGAAGCTAGAAGCCTGAATTGGGTGTCCAGTTACAGAGGGCATTCTTCAATAAGACAGTAATGAGTTGACGAAATAACATCACTAGACACAGAAGAAAAAGTAAAAATAAATGAAAGAATTTTAAGACATTCCAAACCATTACTACCTTTTTGCCACTATTATTTAATTGAGTAATTCTGTATCTTTCCCTGAGATGCTTCCATTTTAGTAGTCTAACTTATTCAAAAGATGTTAGTGAATTTGCATTGGGAACTATGTGAGGAAAAGAGCAGGTTAATCGGAGGCACCAGACCAGATGCATGGCACCGTTCAGTTAACTACATCTTAAAACATAGCGATGATGTAGTGACCTCAGTCAGGTCAGGTCAGCAGCAGGATTTGATGCTGCTTCCCTAAGATAATAATTAGTGAACTATGCCTGTGCTGGAACCTGACCTACAACCTGCTCTCACTTTAGGTGGCTTTGCCAGTGAAAATTTTCGCCACTATGGAGTGTCACATCAGTTAGGTCTTAAAATGGTCATTACACCTGAAAGACAAAATGTGTATTCTGTGACAACAACAAAAACAAATTGCTGGAAAACTCAGTAGGTCTGGCATTATCTGTGGAGAAAAAGCAGAGTTAACATTTCAGGTCCAGTGACCCTTCTTCAGAACTTGTATTTTGTTATTCTGTTAATTCTAGAAGTCAATAGGCCCTTACTGTTGTCACACAATTGTGTTCACCTTTAAAGTAATAGTCAAGTTTATTTAGAAGTAGGAATTTTACACCTGAATAATCATAGCAAGTTGATGGTACAAATAGGCAATAAATGTTGACCTTGCCAGCAACTCTCCATCAACAAATTAAAAAAAATTGAAGTTAATAAAGATAGAATTAATTCACAAGAGTTTAAGTTGTTTTAATAACATTTTCCACACACAGTCGGCTAATCAACAAGGCTTTTGATTCATAGTCCTTTGATTCAGGTTTCTTTCTACTCCCAACTAGTTCCAAGTGCATCTGCTTGAAGTTAGGCCAGCGCTAAAGTGCTTAGTAACCATGGTGAGGGATTAGTGAGGTAGAATATTGATAGTGTTAATTTTTGGATTAACTGGTGCAAATCCAACTCAGATAAACCTGTGAAACTGCATGAAAAAAGCACAAAAGGAATGTTACTTCATGGCCAGATACCTCATAGTCTCAGAAAGGATGATAAAGAGGGAGATTTGAACATCAATGTTTCGAAAGATGAGAGTACAGACTTTCAGAGCCAGTTCGATGGTTCAAGCATTTGAAGTGCCAATAAACAGATAATGTTGCACTTTGAGAGAGACCCCAGGTGTACTTGTATACTCGTTAGACAGACAGCCAACATTCTTCCATCTTAAACTGGTTTCCTAACTCTCCTTTAAACCACATACACCATGTTGTATAATGGTGGAATGCACCAATAATCTTAGAAATTATAAGTAGTTTGCATAGGGTATCACAAATTGGCCAAGGAATCAGTTTCTAAACCCTTGATGATTTATTTACGTGTGAATATATGCTAGCACCAATGCAATAAAGTACTGTATTATTTGGTTTTGTGCTGACTTTATTAATAAAGAGTTTTAAATGATTCTCTCTTTTGAGCCCAGGAGCTTGCACTCAAAAGTAAAAAGTTAAGGATTGTCTCAAGATTGGCCATCACCAAAGAAGACTTTGTCAGGCTATTAAAGTACAGGAAGAAGTTTTGGGAGATCTTGAGGTCAAAAATCCTGAGCAAGGAAGGCCATAATTTTTCAACCTGACCCTACTTAATATGGACGGTCTCTTATTACCTCCCAACAGCTGGCAACTTGTCTTCACCTGGTGGGAAAGCTCTTCCATATTGAACCCGAGTCCCATTAATGTTGAAGATTCTGTAAGAGGTTACATCTCTTTAACAAAGATGCTCCATTTTGCTTTGAATTAACAGAGGCAGTTTAAAGCATAACTGTCTTAAAAAGTCCAACCTTCAGATAAACAAAAATGACAAATATTTTCCATAGTAATGATTTTTCTATAACAGTATCAAAATATAACTTTGTAAACATTTATCTACTGCGTTACTAAATGTAGCACAAAATTGTGGCTGATCTGATTATGTCAAATCAACATTCCAGCTAGTTCTGATAGCTTCTAATACCCTTAACAAGAATATATCCACCTCTGCCTTAAAAAAAAATTCAAACGCTCTGTATCTCCTCTTTACACAGGGCTCCAAAGACTCACGACGTTCAGGGAATTTTTTTTGCCTCATCTCATTTTAACCCCTGATTTTTGAATGATGACACTTAGTTCTGGAGTTTTAATTCTTCAACTGTCACTAACTGCTTGTTTTCAGCAAATAACATTTAAACGTTCACAGTTTGAACTTTGGACTCTTTCTATTTATTCATTCACAGCATGTGGGCATCCCCGGCTAGGCCAGCATTTATTGCCCATCCTTAATTAACCAGTGGGCAATCAAGTGTCAACCACATTGCTGTGGGTCTGAAGTCATATGTAGGCCAGACCAGGTGAGGATGGCAGTTTTCTTTCCCTAAAGGAGGTTTAGTGAGCCAGATGGGATTTTCCTGACAATTGACAGTGGATTCATGGTCATCATTAAACTCTTATATTCCAGATTTTTATTGAACTCAAATTTCACCATCACTAATGGCAGGATTCAAACCTGGGTCCCCAGACCATTACCTGGGTCTCTGGATTAACAGTTCAGCAATAAGACCACTAGGCCATCGGCTCACATATCCATGTCTTTATATGAAACAATAATTTTTGTCGTCGGATTATTTAAAATCAGAGATTTTTGTATGTCACTAAATTTTTCTTGCACCTTTTCAATTTTAACATCTTCACCAGACTCTTCAAAAGCCACTGGCATTGGCGTACCTTATTTATAACCAGGTCATTTCCTAATAGCAAATCAACAACTTTATTAGGTAACTTTGACATGACCCTAACAACAACCAAATCAGTGATCAAGTTAAGTTAACTTTACATAATGGAATGGGTTAAAAAATTTTTTATCTCAATTCTATAATTTTCCAGCAAATATAATTGAACCCACTAGTTGATCATTAGCTTCACCTACTGGTACAGTATACCTTGAAGAAACACAATCCAACAGTAAAAATGCTACAGAGTTATCTTTCAACAGTCCACTTTTATCTGGTCTCATGACAAAAAAAAATTGGCTTCCCTTTAATCATACCGTTCAAACAGTCTTTTGAACAACCAAGGTCATACAGTGTTTGGCTAGTTTTTGTTACATTCCAAGTTTCCATATTTGTCTCTGTAAAGCATTAATCCATCATGAGCTGGTTATGATGGCTGCTACTGTCGCTTCTATCATGATATTGCTATTTCAGTTTACCAACAAATAAATCAAAAAATGCATAAGCATAAGAAATGGGAGCTGGAGGTGAGCATTTGGTCCCTTGAGCCTGCTCTCCACTCAGGAAGAACTGACCTCCCCCACTGCGTCTTCTCATTATGCTCATATCCCTAAATTCCTCAGAATCAAAAATTCTATCAATCTCGGTCTTTCATTCCAAATACTCAGAGCTCAGAGAGAAGACATGAGGTGCAGTGCCTCCAAAAAGGTACTGAACACATTCGGAACTCCAAATGGATCCACGCAAGGCTCTGCCCCAGTGAAGTGCTCATTTGAATTCTATTTCCTTCAGGAGGCCAACATTGCATGAGCTGTTCTTATTATTTCTTATACACAGCTTCTGATGATTTGTATAGTGAGAAACCTAGGTTTCTAAAGCACCTTACTACTTTCACTGTCTATGCTCTGATTTCTACAGCTTCTTCATCATCCACTACAGGGTTTTCCAAGAGGTCAGCACTGGACTATTACGCTATTCAGTGGTCTACACATTACTACAAATCAGGTGGGCCACTGGTGGATTGTCCCATTAAAGGTTACTGCATTCAGGAGACAAAAAGTAAATCTCCAATGGACATTTATTTACACATTAGGGGGAGAAATTTTCTATTTTGCTTAAGGTTCACCGTTTAATGCTTATCTGCTTTAACTATGGGATCAAAAGCTTACAAATCACACTATTCATGGACGTTATAAATATATATAAAATCACGATCTAGCCAGCATTACTAAATCAATATCCTGGAACTCCCTCCTACCATAAGGGCTGCATCTGTTCCAGAGAAAGGTCTGCCACACAAACTAAGCATTAAATAGAGCTTGACAGCGTCATATCCATTCCATTAACAAATAAAAACAAATTTACTATACAAGTCAAATAAGTCATTAGTCTTCATTATCAATTTTCAACTTTCACAACAGCTGATGTATCATCTGGGTGGGTTCCTCAAAGATCCTTCTCAGTACATTTCCATGAAAGAATATTTAAAAATTAGGTAATACAGGGCATAGTGAAAACTCTGGGGTAGTTACAGCATATGCTTTTCTGGAAGAAATCAGTTAGTTCCTGTCAAGGCTAATCAATTCCGGTCACACACCTCTGAGGAGTTGACTGGAGTACGGTGAGTTCCAGGACACGGTTACTCACTGCTCCTTCAGTTGGAGATGCTGCCCAAGACAAGATCCAAGTTCCAATTTAAAAAAAAATCAGGAGATCAGGCCTCAAGTAATTTAATGGAAGACGACATCTGGTAGGCATTCCTGAATTTATTATTTACAATTTTTTTTTTAAATGACTGAACAAAAGAAACAGGAATCTTGTTCAACTAGGGGGCAAAGCAAAAATCACATTTCAGAAAGTTTTCCTGATTATCCTAACATCCTACAAAATCAACTGCATGGAAGCGTCAATAAACCTCCAAAGCACCCAGTAACAGTGATTCACAATTAAAATAGTGTGTTTTTTATACAATAAACTATCAAAAACTAAAATTAAAAGCTCCAGCTTCTAAAATCTTCAGGTTTATCACAAGGACGTCGCAGTGTAAATGGTGAGCACTTAGAACAGTCAGTGCATTTAGAGACTGGAGCGAAAATCTGTACGTGAATGGACTGCTATGAACTCCGTGTGTAGGTTATGTGAAGATGCTGCAATAGAGGCTGTTCAGAAGTTGCCATAAAAACAGTTTGCTCCAAGTTCCCTTCTTCTGTAAGTCTGAATGTCCGTGTAATCTGAAAGTAAAGAAACAAATCAAGGAAATGGTGTCTTTGAGAATGATACTTCATGAAAACAAAGAGTAAAGAACATTCCACACTTGCTGTAATACTGTCCACAGGAACTATTTAGCTAATGTGAGACTTGGTTCAGCTAGTAAGGACTTTGATGACAGTCCAAGGTCATCAAGTCTTGTTCCAGTACTTGAATACATAGTCCAGTTTGGCTAAACAGAAAAGTTAAATATTTTTAGTTTTGATGTAGAGCTGACTGGGAGGAGGGTCTGTGTGAGGTCACTGAATCCCTGCAGTATGGAAGTAGGCCATTCAACCCATCAAGTCTACACTGACCCTCTGAAGAGAACACCACCCAGACCCACTCCCTTACCCTACCCCTGTAACCCTGCATTCCCCATGGCTAATCCACCTAGCCTGCACATGCCTGGGCACTATGGGCAATTTAGCATGGCCGATCCACCTAACCTGCACGTCTTTTTGGATTGTGGGAGGAATCCACAGCACCCAGAGGAAACCCATGCAGACTCCACAAAGTTGCCCGAGGGTGGAATTGAACCTGGGTCCCTGGGGCTGTGAGACAGCAGAGCTAACCACTGTGCTGCCCTGTCAGACAAGTTAAGAGGGCAAATGCATGGCATGTGCAGCATAATGTGGATAAACGCGAGGTTATCTGCTTTGGAAGCAAAAACAGGAAGGCAGATTATTATCTGAACAGCGACAGATTGGAGAAGGGGGAAGCGCAACAAGACCTGTGCCATTTTACACCAGTCACTGAAAGTAAGTATGCAGATGAAGCATGTGAGAAAGGTAAATGGTTTGTTGGCCTTCACAGTGAAAGGATTCGAATACAGGAGCAGATTGTACAAGACATTGGTGAGACCACACCTGGAGTACTGTGTGCAGTTCTGGTCTCCTTATCTAACAAAGGCTGTTCTGGACATGGAGGGAGTGCAAAGAAGGGTTACCAGGCTGATTACTGGGATGGAGGTGGTGGTGCGGGGGAGGGAGGGGGGCGGTGGGTGGTGCGAGAGACTGGATCGGTTAGGACTACATTCATTAGAATTTAGAAGATGATCTCATGTAAACCTGTAAAATTTTAAACAGAATTAGACAGGATATGTACAGGAAGGATATTCCTAATAACCAGGACCAGGGATCATCATACAAAGGGAAAAGGCCAAGCTTTTTAAGACTGAGACAAGGAGAAATTTCTTCATGCAGAGGCTGGTGGGCCAGTGGAATTCAGTGCCCAGAAAAAAGTAACGAAGACTTTGAAGAAAGACGTAGATATAGTTCTTAGGACTAAAAGGATCAAAAAGGGGCTGAGGTGAAAGTGGGAACAGGATACTGACCTGATCAGCCATGATCATACTGAATGGTGAAGCAGAAGGGCCAAATGGCCTACTCCTACTTTCTATGTTTTTATTAAACAAAGACCCCAAACGGCTACTTCTGTGATTCAGGTGGGCACTAAATATTTCACAACAATACTGCAACAGGAGGCAAGAGTTCTCCCAGTGTCCTAAACAACAATTCATCCTCAGCCAACACAATCACTAAAAAGATTAAATGACTATTCATCCAATGGTGGTAAAATATTTTAGGCCTTTTATCTGTTCAGCCCAGAACTGTTGCAAAGTTATTCAACATACAAAGGGTTAATATTACATACTGCATAGCCTTGTGCTCGAATAATTTTCAGTCAATGTACTCAATGGAGTTCAGCTGAACAAGCAGCATAAGAAAAAAGCTTCTCATTCAAACTGGTAATTTTGCTTAGCAATACACAATACCAAAAGAATAGGAAGAGTAGGCTATTCAATCTATCAACACCATTCCACCATTCAAGATGATCACCGCTGACCTTATTGGCCGAACATCACTTTCCTGATTACTGTAGTAAATCAAAACTATAATTCAGCCTTATTTATATTCAATGACCCAGCCTCCATCCTGGGTGGGGGAAAAGCTTTCCAAAGAGTAACAACCTTCAGAAGAAATTTCTTTTCATCTTTTCTTAATAGATCCTTAATTTTGAAAGTGAGGTTTTGAGTTCTAGATTCTTCCACAAGAGGAATCATGGTCTTAATATCTACCTATCTCATAAAATTATATGTTGCAGTAAGGTCACTTCTGGTTCTTCTAAACTCTAATAAACTTAATCCCAACCTGTTCAATCTTTTCCATAAAGGCGATTATAAAAACAGAATTTATCATCATTCACTCACGCGTGGGTATCACTGGCTACACCAACACTTAGTGCCCATCCCAGAGGGCAGTCAAGAGTCAACCACACTGCTGTGGTTCTGGAGTCCTATGTAGGCCAGACCAGGAAAGGATGACAGTCTACTTTCCTAAAGGACTTTAGAGAACCAGATGAGTTTTGCTCAGCAATCAACAATCATCGTTAGACTCTTAATTCCAGATTTTCATTGAATTCAAATTCCACCATTGGCTGTGGCAGTATTCGAACCTGGGTCCCCGGAACATTGCCTGGGTCTCTTAACAAATAATCTTGCGGTAATACCATTGGTCAAACGCACCCCCTAAATTAAGAGGCAGTGGGCTATTTGGCTCTTTGAGTCTGCTCTGCCATTCAATATGATCATGGCTGATCATCTAACTCATTGTGTTGGTTCCACTTTCGCCCTATACCCTTTGATACCTCTGGCCACAACAACTATATCTAATTCCTTCTTGAAAACATTCAATGTTTTGGCCTCAATCACTTCCTATGGCACAGAATTCCACAGGTTTACCATAGAACATAGAACATAGAACATTACAGCGCAGTACAGGCTCTTCGGCCCTCGATGTTGCGCCGACCTGTGAAACCAATCTGAAAGCCCATCTAACCTAAACTATTCCATTATCATCCATATGTTTATCCAATGACCATTTAAATGCCCTTAAAGTGGGCGAGTCTACTATTTTTGCAGGCAGGGCATTCCACGCCCTTACTACTCTCTGAGTAAAGAACCTACCTCTGACATCTGTCCTATATCTATCACCCCTCAATTTAAAGCTATGTCCCCTCATGCTAGCCATCACCATCCGAGGAAAAAGGCTCCCACTGTCCACCCTATCTAATCCTCTGATGATCTTGTATGTCTCTATCAAGTCACCTCTTAACCTTCTTCTCTAACAAAAACAGCCTCAAAACCCTCAGCCTTTCCTCACAAGACCTTCCCTCCATACCAGGCAACATCCTGGTAAATCTCCTCTGCACCCTTTCCAATGCTTCCACATCCTTCCTATAATGCGGTGACCAGAACTGTACGCAATACTCCAAGTGCGGCCGCACCAGAGTTTTGTACAGCTGCAACATGACCTCATGGCTCTGAAACTCAATCCCTCTACCAATAAAACCTAACATACTGTACGCCTTCTTAACAACGCTATCAACCTGGGTGGCAACTTTCAGTGATCTATGCACATGGACACCGAGATCTTTCTGCTCATCCACACTACCAAGAATCTTACCATTAGCCCAGTACTCTGTATTCCTGTTACTCCTTCCAAAGTGAATCACCTCACACTTTTCCGCATTAAACTCCATTTGCCACCTCTCAGCCCAGCTCTGCAGCTTATCTATGTCCCTCTGTAACCTACAACATCCTTCTGCACTATCCACAACTCCACCGACTTTGGTGTCATCCGCAAATTTACTAACCCATCCTTCTACGCCCTCATCCAGGTCATTTATAAAAATGACAAACAGCAGTGGCCCCAAAACAGATCCTTGAGGTACACCACTAGTAACTGAACTCCAGGACGAACATTTCCCATCAACCACCACCCTCTGTCTTCTTACAGCTAGCCAATTTCTGATCCAAACCGCTAAATCACCCTCAATCCCATGCCTCCGTATTTTCTGCAATAGCCTACCATGGGGAACCTTATCAAACGCTTTACTGAAATCCAAATACACCACATCAACCGCTTTACCCTCATCCACCTGTTTGGTCACCTTCTCAAAGAACTCAATAAGGTTTGTGAGGCACGACCTACCCTTTACAAAACTGTGTTGACTATCCCTAATCAAATTATTCCTTTCTAGATGATTATAAATCCTATCTCTTATAATCCTTTCCAACACTTTACCCACAACCGAAGTAAGGCTCACTGGTCTATAATTACCAGGGTTGTCTCTACTCCCCTTCTTGAACAAGGGGACAACATTTGCTAGTCTCCAGTCTTCTGGCACTATTCCTGAAGACAATGACGACATAAAGATCAAAGCCAAACGCTCTGCAATCTCCTCTCTAGCTTCCCAGAGAATCCTAGGATAAATCCCATCCGGCCCAGGGGACTTATCTATTTTCACACCTTCCAGAATTGCTAACACCTCCTCCTTATGAACCTCAATCCCGTCTAGTCTAATAGACTGTATCTCAGTATTCTCCTCGACTACATTGTCTTTTTCCTGCGTGAATACTGACGAAAAATATTCATTTAGCACCTCTCCTATCTCTTCGGACTCCACGCACAACTTCCCACTACTGTCCTTGACCGGCCCCAATCTTACTCTAGTCATTCTTTTATTCCTGACATACCTATAGAAAGCTTTAGGGTTTTCCTTGATCCTACCTGCTAAAGACTTCTCATGTCCCCTCCTGGCTCTTCTTAGCTCTCTCTTTAGGTCCTTCCTGGCTAACTTGTAACTCTCAAGCGCCCTCACTGAGCCTTCACGCCTCATCTCTACATAAGCCTCCTTCTTCCTCTTGACAAGAAATTCAACTTCTTTAGTAAACCACGGTTCCCTCGCTCGACCACTTCCTCCCTGCCTGACAGGTACATACTTCTCAAGGACACGCAGTAGCTGTTCCTTGAACAAGCTCCACATTTCAATTGTGCCCAGCCCCTGCAGTTTCCTTCTCCATCCTATGCATCCTAAATCTTGCCTCATCGCCGCCTTTCCCCCAGCTATAACTCTTGCCCTGCTTTATATACCGATCCCTTTCCATCGCTAAAGTAAATGTAACCGAATTGTGGTCACT